AGAGAGGAAGAACTTAGCCAAGGAAGAAAAAGATTGGAACAGAGAGGCTTTAAGCAGCCAGAGTAGAGAAAAGGTAGAGTTTTTAGGAAGGAGTTAGAAGTTGCTATCCAAATGGCTGAATGTATAATAAGAGGTAGAGTTATTTGAGATTAGTGTGTTCCCATAATCAGTGCCGACAAGTCGACTTCCTCAACTCTACATGATGCCAAAACTAGTTGAGTATTTACACACTCAAGGAGGATTTGGTTGTTCGTCCATCAATAATAGGGGCCAAAGGAGAGGGGAAAATGAGAAGGAAACTCTAGAGGGTAGAGGGAAGGAAAAGGAAAGGGAGAAAAGGAGAAGGGAAAAGTAGAAAAGAAAGGAGGAAAATGAGAGGAAATTTCGGAGAATAGAGAAAAGGAGAAGGGAAAAGAAGAAAAGCAGAAAAGAAGGGAAAGGGGAAGGAAGCTTAGGAGAGTAAAGGAAAAGAGGGAAATGCATAACAATAAAAAATAATAAAGAAAAGTTGCCTTCATCATTATGTCTACTAACGGAAAAGAGCAAAATGCTCCCAACTTCTCTTGTTTCTTACATTGCAAATTATATTGAGAGACCAGTATTCCTACCCCAAGGATATAGACACAACTTGCCGAATTTCGTTACCGTACAACAAGTCTATAACTGCACAACAATTCGATCAACCACCTTAAATTCAACCATACATGTTCCAAGATTCAAGTTTTTCCAAACTTTCCTTATGAAACTATCTGAACATTACAAGTGCCACATTATTATGCAATTCTATCAAGTTTTAATTTTTGTCTCATAACCACATCATCTGTAGGACAATCAATCTTATAGTTGAATATATAAACCTTCGAGATTGTGGTATTGGAAACACTGGTTGGTGGGTTGATTGGTAGAAATGGTTCCAACAATTCAAGGACGAGAAATGAGTATTAAGCAACGGTCAAATTATGTTGTATTTTATCACAAAATTTTTTGTGTACATATTAGAAGTGCATTTTATCACAAAAAAGATAATTGTAATTTATAAAATCACACATAAAACAAGAAGTAATCTTTTCTTTTTGGCCAACCATGACTTAAAGAAACGCTTTTTGGGTCAATGGATGGGAACAACCCATTTTATAATTGTTTGTAAATTTCCCTGGAAGTAGATGGGAATGACCCAATTATATAGATAAGGATTGTTTGCCCTCCTAGTTTCGGTGCCCTCCGTGCTTTCCTGTTTATGTGGTCACGGTTAAACCACGTCAATATTTTATATTACTATTCATTTTTGTCTTATTATCTCTATAAAAAAAAAATATAAAATATTGACGTGGTTTAACTGTGACCATACAAAACAGGAGGGCATGAGAGGGCATCGAAACTAGTAGGGTAGACAATCCTTCTCCATATATAATTGGGACAAGGATTGTCTACCCTCCTAGTTTCGATGCCCTCATGTGCCCTCCTGTTTTGTGTGGTCACGGTTAAGCCACGTCAACATTTTATATTATTTTTTTTATAAATCCAAGACGATGATGAACTTGAGAGACGAGAAGATATAAAGCCAAGACTGCAGAAAGAAATCCAGCTGTCACGAACTTCTGTTGTCGAGTTTTCAAAAGATTACGCGACATCCAGATGATGCCTGGATGAGCTTGTGCTGATCCTTGAACGCAAGAGGACCACCTCGGACCATGTAGTTTTACCAGTCGTCTACGATGTTGATGCGTCCCAATTGAGGAAGCAGACGAGAATATTGGAAAAGCATTTGCTAGACACAAGAAAACTCAGTCGCCAAAAAAGGTGAAGGGATGGAGGGAAGAACTTGCAGCGGTTGTAGATCTAGCATGCATGGTCTCACAAAATCAAGCAGATGGGTAACTTACATTTCTCCATTTCTCTTATCTTTCTTGAGTCAATTTGATGTATGATCCGTAGTGACCTAGATTTTTATATATTTATTAATTCAATCTCGGTAGTGACAATCCCAATTTAGGTCAACTCAAAGAAATCACACTCGGCTCAACTTAAGGATTAGTTATTTTCCATGTTAGTCTACTAGTTTGCAGTTGCTTAAATTTTTTAAAGAATAATGTTAGGAAGATCAAAATTTTTAAACCAAATAATATAATTGTAGATGATTAGATTATTAATTAAGTATCGATTAGCGTGCTTATTTTTTATCGATGAGGCATAATTTGGTTTACAATTTCAAAAATGCTGTTCTCACTATCCAGTTGTATATCTCTCTAATAGAGAAGAGATTTGCATCCGTTGATAGGCTCTACTTCTATTGGAGAGATGGAACTAGTAATTGTACAAATAGATAGTAAGTGTAGCGTTACTCTTAAACTTTTGGTCTTTCTAACATTCTCCTTTTTAAAAAACAGGTGTGGAAAAAAGTTAGGATGTAATATGTGTTGTAAGTGTCTAAATTCATATAAATTCTGCGCTGTATTCCTTTTTTTTCTTATCAGTTTTGTTAGCAGTCATCTTTTTCCCTTATTTAAATAATGGCCATGAACAAATGTTTTAATTATCTAAATTCCCCATTTCATTTTTCATTGTGTTTGCAAATTCTTAGGTACGAGTCAAAGTTTATCGAAAAAATTGTTAAAGTGATAGGAGGCAAGTTAAGTCGCATGCCATTGAGTGTTGAACCAAAATTGATTGGAATTCATTCTCAAGTCGAAGACATCAATTTGTGGTTAGAAGATCGATCAACCGATGTTGGCATATTTATTGTATATGGCATGTCTGGAATAGAGAAGACAACCATTGCAAAACATGTTTACAATTCAAACTTTAGAAACTTTCAAGGAAGTAGTTTCGTTGAAAATATCAGAGAAACAGCAGATCGACCAAATGGCTAGTTCAAATACAAATGCAACTTCTTTCTGATATTTTGAATGGTAGAAAAGTGAAAATTCAGAGTGTTAGTGAGGGAATAATTAAGATTGAAGGCGCTGTAAGCTCTAGGAAAGTTCTGCTTGTTCTTGATGATGTTGACCATATGGACCAATTAGATGTAGTACTAAAGATGAAAGATCGGTTTTATCTCGGAAGTAAGATATTTATAACAACTAGGCATAAAGGGTTGCTAAAGGCATATCAAGTTACAAGGGTGCACAAAGTTGAAACTTTGAATTACAATGAATCACTAGAGCTTTTCAGTTGGCATGCATTTGGCCAGGAACATCCCATAGAAGAATACATGGAGCATTCAAAATTGGTAGTGCAACATAGCGGTGGACTTCCATTAGCTCTAAGTTATTCCTAATGGTGTATGGATGTATGGGAAAGTGTAGATGTATGGGAAAGTGCATTACAGAAGCAAAAAGTTATTCCTGATGGTGAAATCATGAATAAACTAAGAATAAGCTATGACGTTTACAAGATGCCCATTACCAAAAATTATTCCTCCACATTGCTTGTTTCCTAATTAATAGGAAGGGACAAAAACTACATTGTTAGAATACTCGATGGATGTGATTTCTATACAATTGTTGGCATTCAAAATCTCATTGATAGATGCTTGGTGACAATTGAAGGATGCAACGAGGTGAACATGCATGACATGATTCGTGACATGGGAAGAGAAATTGTTCGCGTGTAATCAGAAGAGCCTAAGAAACATAGTAGATTATGACGCCATAAAGATTCTTTCCAAGTATTGAGGGACAAGAATGTAAGAAACATGCCTTTAATGTCTATATATGTATTTCTTCTTGTGAAAATTATCCACACTAACGGTTCCGTTTTTTCCTTTAGGGTACAAAAAAATCCAAGCTATTGTCCTGAATATGCATATGCATCTTGCACACAGTCCAATAAACACAAATGAGACAGTCTTGGAAACCAATGCATTTGAAAAGATGCGCAAATTACAGCTACTACATCTTTGTCATGTACGACTAGATAGATGTTATGTAGATTTCCCTACAGGATTAAGATGGTTGTGTTGGCTTCAATTTCCATTGGATTCTATACCTATTGGCTTTCCTTTGGGGTGTTTAATTGTTCTTGAAATGCAATATAGTAGCTTGAGACAAGTCTGGAAAGGAACAAAAGTATGTTACTCTACTCATTTCAATTCAGTTTTTTTATTTTTTGACCAATTGCATATGTTAAAATTAACTCCTACACATTTTTTCTTTCTTTGTTTTTATCTTACAGTCTCTTCCATCGTTGAAGATCCTTGACGTCAACCATTCCCATGCCCTCACTAAAATCATGGACTTCTCACTTTGCCCCAGTCTAGAAGAACTGATTCTTGTAGATTGCACAAGCCTGATTGATGTTCATGAATCCATCAAGGATTGCAAGAATCATAGGATGCTTCCAAAGAACATTTGTTTGATTAAATCACTTGAAACACTCATTTTATCTGGTTGCTCAAATCTTGATGAGTTTCCAGTGGAGATGATGAAGAAGATGGAGTCTCTGGAAGTTCTTAAAGTAGATGGAGTTCCATTAAGTGAATTATGGCCAGAAAGAAGATTTCTTTTCCATGCTCCTTAGTAGAGTTGAATCTCAGTAGGTGAAATCTTTCTGAAGATGCCTTTCCTACGGATTTAAGTAATCTATCCTCAATACAAAGACTATATCTAGATGAGAATCCAATTTGTAGCCTACCAGTTTTCATCAAAGGTTTGAGGAGGATTGATGAACTCTCTTTTTGTAATTGTAAGAAGCTCGAATCTCTTGTGGGGTTGCCGAGAGTACACAAAAAGATGGATGTATCCGATTGCATATCATTGAAAAAAGTACCATATCAATCGTTTGTGGGGCTCCAACTAGGAGTGTGGGGAAAACACAACGACAACATGGTTGAGTGGCAGTACATTTTCAAGTTAGAGTCTATTAATAGAGTTGATGTGGAAATGATCAAACTTTTGGGCTTGTTCAACTTGGAATCCATGCCTGGAATTCGAATGAACAGCCAATTAGAATGCATCAGTTCAAAATATGATAGATGGAGTCTCGTCCAAGTGCGCCTCTCTCTCTCTCTCTCTCTCTCTCTCTCACACACACACACACACACATAAGTCATATATATAATGGGAAATAAATGACTTAGTAATGTTGTGATGAGCATGGCAAATACGTACGGACTGTATCAACATGGTATATTCAGCACATTTTTTTGTTGGGAACGAGGTTTCAGGCCGGTTCAGCTATAAAAGTACCAAGTCCTCCATATGTTTTATTGTCCCTTTACTCCTTACTAGTCAAAAAATCCGAGGCTTGAACATCTCTGCTACGTATGCAAATGAGGAGAATTCTAATTATAATGATGATGATGATGATAAACCTCCAATAATAATCAAAGTGAGTAACAAGAGCAAGGGTCTGAAGTGGATCTATGGCCCAGCTTTCTACGGTATTCCAGAAGAGGGAGAAGATATGATATGGTTGAGCCATTGGAGGATGGAGAGTGAAACAACATTACGACGTGGAGATGAAGTGCTTGTTTCAGTACTCATAAGACCTAGTAAGTTTCAGCTCAAGGAGTTTGGTGTCGAACTTGTGCAAGAGCACCAGAATAATATGATAAGTACCCAACACAACACCAAATCAGATCCTAGTTACCCATTTGTCATCGGTGGAGATTTGTCCATGTGGGAGCATATACCAGAAATATACTTCCTCGATTGCAGTAAAGAATCTGTTGATGACATTGATATCTTTCTGCGGAGATTTTTAAATCGCCTCATCATGGAAACTGATGAAGAAGACACAGGTATGTTGTGTCATTGTATTGCAATGAATTATACTCCATCCAAACACTTCCAAGTCCGTCTGTATTCAATTCAAAAACATAAATTTTATGTTATTTGTATGTTTTTCAGACAAAGAAGAAGGGCACGAGGATGAACCTAATTACACAATTGCAAGGACAAGGGCTGCCAGTAACAACTGCAGCCTCGGAGGCTGGAAGGTGCTCCTCACAGATGCCGGCTTATTTTCACGCTTGCTCTAGTAGTTCGGTCCTCCATCTCCTGGAAAAAGAAGCGACAGTAGTCCACAAGTCATCCATGAGTATGTAATTTTACTTGATACAGACATATCTTTGCATTCCCTCCTTGTTTTTAAGATGTTTTCTGCCTTCAAAATATCGAAGTTCAAATGTGGTCAAAATCATTAAATATTGCATAAATATAGCATAAAATACATCCAACATTATCGATACTTAAGAATTTTTCTTCTCTGCCACTAATTGCATACAATCATGTACCAGAAGATAAACAAATGATTCTGTAGCAACAGTAAATAATTGGAAAAAAAATGATTCTAAACATACAAGGGAAGGACATTGACATAGGTATCTTTAGCAATACCAGGCAAAAATCATTTCTTTGAACTGGTGGAAAATATTTTGGCACCGGGGAAAGCAAAAACATCCTATCTGCTTATAAATGTCAAATTTACAGATAGTACTTGTCATTTACAACAAAATCATGCTTCTTAAAAACTGGGCTCCCAATGAAAAATTGTGTAAATTACATAAATATCAGAACAACAGATATTAGATTGACTAATATATCAAATTAATTAAGAGCAAACAATTTCTTAGCCTGAGATCTAAGGACTATACAGCTGATTCAACCTTGCATTGCTACTACACTATGAAAGCTGGTTTCTGCTTCTTCAACCCGAACAAATTATTGAGATCAGGAAGCATAGGAGAAACGGCCATGGTCTCTGGAGCCATGAAATTTACTATCTTCTCATAAACATTGTACCTGCAAAAACATAATGCAATAAGCCTTCGACAATCTGGCCTAGTTTTCTCAATGAACGCTCCAAGATATTCCAAAACAAAATCAAAACAGTTCCACATAGGGAACCAAAGAATCTATTGATATCTATCTTATCTTGCGACTCTTAAGAGGCTCTTGTCAACAATCTTCCTCTTCTTACCATGCAACCTTTTCAAAGAATAAGATATTGTATCTGCGAATAATCAAATAGTGCAAAGTCAGAATCAATAAACAATAGAAGTTTGGGATCAATTAGTTCATGATTGTTAGCAGAAATAACTCCCAACTTGTTCCATTCTTAAAGTTACAAAAACACAAAAACTTGAACGATAGAAGTTCGGGATCGATTAGGTTCCAAGCCCACTGTAAGCTTGTTCCATTTTTTTAATCGCCTCATCATGGGCACTGATGAAGAAGACATAGGTATGCTGTGTTGTTGTATTACAATGAATTATACTCCATCCAAACACTTCCAAGTCCGTCAGTATTCAATTCAAAAACATAAATTTTATGTTATCTGTATGTTTTTCAGACAAAGAAGAAGTGCGAGAGGATGAACCTGATTACACAATTGCAAGGACGAGGGCTGCCAGCAACAGCTAAAATAACGCAATAAGTCTTCAACAATTTGGCCTAGTTTGCTCAACAGATGCTCCAAGATATTTCAAAACAAAATCACAGCAGTTTCACATAGGGAACCGAAGAATCTATTGATAACCTTATCTTGCGACTCTTAGTGGCTCTTCTGTCAACAATCTTCCCCTTCTTAGCATGCAACTTTTTCAAAGAATAAAATGTTGTCTCTGCGGATAATCAAAATCAATAAACAATAGAAGTCCACGATCAAATAGGTCGTGATTGTTAGCAGGAATCATTGCTAGCTTGTTCCATTTCAAAGTTACAAAAAACTTGAACAATAGAAGTTCGGGATCGATTAGGTTCCAAGCCCACTATAAGCTGAGACAATACAGTGTCATTGACTTCAATGACTGTAGATACAGATTGTTTGAATGAAACTCTCCTCATGACTCAGACTTGGTTACTTAAAGTTGGTTAGATGAGTCCAAATTGTTTGAAAATCATGTTCATCAACTCCACATATCCAAAGCAGCAAATTAACGAGGATACCAGACATCACTTAGGACGATATAATCCTTGACAATTTCCAAAAGCCACAGTTTTTATATCCAATCTGATTACATGTATTTTGAAATACAGGAAATCTTATAGATTGGGTAAACTGTGTATCAAATTCAAATGCAGTCATTCATATATGAAGTATGAGATGCCCAATAGTTTTACCAGAAGTTGCTGAGTCAATTGTCCCAAAACAGTCTTTTAGAAATTGCTAGTACAACTCAAAGTCGTCCAAAAGTTCGGGGTCACCATCAGCTAGTGCACTAGCATCAGATTTTGTCTCCTATCAAAGTGAAGGAATAAAAGTACCTGTGCGAATAGAAATGTAACTTTTAGGGTAAATTACATTTTCATACCTCAGGTTTGGGGCATATTTCAATTCCTTACAACATCTTCAAAACATTTCACTTTCATACCGTAAGTACTATTTTATTTCAAAATAATACATCCGTTACATTTTCCATCCATGAATCCGTTAAGTGCTGACGTGGCTGCCACATATATGCCACGTGGCAAAAAAAAATAATTTTTAATTTTTTTTTTAAACCTGAATTTTCTCAAAAAAAAAAAAAAAAAAGGGTAAGTTACATTTTCATACCTCAGGTTTAGGGCATATTTCAATTCCTTACAACATCCTCAAAAAATTTCACTTTGATATCTTAAGTACTATTTTATTTCAAAATAATACATCCGTTACATTTTCTATCCATGGATCTGTTAAATGTTGACATGGCTGTCACACATATGTCACGTGGCTGCCAAATGTGTGTCACGTGGCAAAAAAAAAATTTTTAATTTTTTTTTAAAACTTAAATTTTCTCAAAAAAAAAAAAAAACACCATTATCCACTCCCCCTAGCGACCCACATCCCCGAAGAACCCAAAAAACTGAAGAAGAAGAAGAAGGAGGGAAAAAAAAAAACTACAACCCGGTTCGTCCCCAAACCGCCCCCCAACGCGCCTACGACCCAACAACTGAAGGAAAATTTGTGAAAAACAAGTTCATTTGAGCAACATCAACAACATGCAATTAACAATTAAAAGGCGGAATCATGTTTTTATATGCACTCAAAAACAAAACTTAACCCATGAACTTCAAAGCCTAGTAGATAGGTGAACCAAGACTCAACTCAAAACAAAGTGAGTTGAGAAATCAATACCTTTGTAGATTCCTTTTTGCATAAGCAAAGGCTAATCACCCAAAGAGAGGGCCTTCATTCCTTGCATCTTAGATCCATGGATTTGGATGGATGAAAAGGTTTCTCCAAGTTCCCAAAATTGAGAACCTCTAAGTCTCCACACCAAGGTAAGATTGGAGAAGAAATGAGTGACCTTGAGGAAGTAAGATTGCTAGATGTTTTTCTCAAGGATGGCCGGCCACTTCTAGAGAGAAAGGAGAGTTTGTGTTTCTCCAATTTCCCCAAAAACAACCCTTAATGAATTTTGGCTATTAAGTCACACTTATACCTTAATTCATTTGAGTGGCAAACTTGTAAATAAGTCAAAACCCACTCTTTCTCTAACATGGCCGGCCTTAGGGATTTATTGGGCTATTTGGGCCTTTGTGAATCATTATTCATTAAGTTGTCATACAACTTAAGTCAATGGACTTGACGTTCGAAGCCCATTGGGCCTTAAGGTCCAAAACTATCCCGAGGTCTTTTAACGAACTTATTCGTTTGATTAATAATCATATTAATTAATCCTTGCCATAAATAATTAAACCATTTAATTATTCTTACTCATCTCCGTTGAATCTTCAATCTCTACCTTACACGGTGTACGATCCATTAGGTTCCTTTTAGCGAGGCAGTGGGCGATTCAAACTCTTTCAAATCGATTGTGAATTGAAACTTACTTTCAATTCTCCCGTTAGTGATAATACACTTTTAGGGCTTCCACAAACCATGGTTGACGCCTAGCAGCATGTCATGGTTACCCAAGCTAATCAGAAGAGGTGGAGAACCTATTCAGTTTTAGGATTACAAATGCAATACGGTCTTTCTCTAATACAATACTCTTGACCACATTGTTTGGTTTGATAGTTTATTCATGTCTACTATCCAATGTGAGTCTTGTGCTTATATGATTACCTTGAATGTGATTTGGAACACATTCCTAAATCTCATTCATACTTTGGCCAAAGATTCTTTAATCATATCAAAGAGTATTCTCCCTCAAACAGTTTGAAGGTTAGAGATCCCTTGTTGCGCATTCACTTGCCTCCATGGCTAAGTGGCTTAACCCCAACGATGCCATGGACACCCTCCTGATGGAGTGACTTTGACATAATCAAAGATTAAGGACCTAACCACAAGACAACTGTGATGCCTCAGGTCAAAAGACTAATTTGCATTATCCCAACCATGAGTTCTCATGTGACATGAATATGAGAACTCTTCGTTGATCGTGTTCAGTGAACTCATTCTCTATTGAGCACCTACGTACTTGTCTTGATGTCACACACACCAATGACTCGAGACTAGTCACTCTCCCTGAGAGAAGACATAGCACGTACTGATCTTAACGGACTGTCAATGCCCAATTGACAATCCTATGATCAGGAACGTTTAGGATGTGTCAACGAAAGAATGGTCTCATGAATCTAACTTCTTTAGATCGCATTCTTCCAATCACATATTCCTTGGACTTATCGTTTAAGCATATAACATTTATATGAGACGGCTCAAACAATAATCTTTGCCCTTTACATTTAAACTACATTAGTTTGAAATGTCCGTAAAGTATCATCATATGATTGGTTTTAGGGCACATTTCCAACAACAACCAACCTCCCTTCCCTCCCCTCCTCTTGGGACCCCGCGACCCACCTCCCTTGCACATAGACCCCGAATCACACCTAATCTTGAGTGGTTTTGTGGTAGATTCATCTTGGGGAGTTTGAGATGGGGATTTTGAGTTTGAGATGATTTTTGGACTGGTTTTGTGGTAGATCCACCTAATCGCGGGTGAGATTTTTTAGGGTAGGTGATGGGGGATGGGAGAGAGGGGTGGCTCGGGTGGGATTTTGGGGTGGGTGATGATGGATGGGAGAAGGGGTGGGTCGGGGATGGGTTTTTTTTTTTTTTTTTAAATTCAGGTTTAAAAAAAAAATTTGTTTTTTGCCACGTGGCACACATTTGGCAGCCACGTGGCATATATGTGGCAGCCACGTCAGCACTTAACAGATCTATGGATAAAAAAATGTAACAGATGTATTATTTT